GCACAGTCTTTATTTTACAGTTAAAATATAAGTTTATCAAATAAAGTCTAATGTTACAAATAATCGGGGATCCCTTTAATAAAACTCTCAAATAGTTAACCATTGGAAGTGCATCAATGCCTGAGATACCCACCCAAGTCAATATTTTTTTACTAGTGTAGTAGTAAAAATTAATCAGTATTTTTACATACATTTTTTTGTTTGTTTGTTTATTTTGTTTATTAATTAATGGCACCTGCTGGAGATTCACCGGTGAGAGAGGAGGAGCCGACTCCACCTCTTATAATGAGTTTGGTGATGCACCTGGGTTGGTGGCGACAAAGAAACCCAGTGGTGTGGCGTGTGAAGTTGCTGCAGCAGATAACTAAGGATTTTGATAGATAAAGAAAGTACGGTGTGGGTAGACTCCATGAAAGGAGTCGTCACCTCGGGACTGATCGACCCAGAGGGGAGCGTCGGATGTTTGAGCTGGGATTTCGTTTCATTACGTTTGTTTGGAARAAACCGACGGCTGGACGCTAATTGTTGGATTGTACACTGGAAAGGTCACACCCCTGCCACTGTATTTTGCCACTTTTTGGAAAGAACGGGGGATCATGTTTTGTTTTGTTTTTTTTTTAAGAAAAAAGAAAAAAAAGAAATCTTGAACAGACCATCTGACGGAGTAAGGAGGAATCGGCCGCTTTGAGCTGACCACCAGGACCGTGACCCACGGCGCTGAAGTTACAGGTAGGCCCTCACCTCACTCTGTGACCCGTCAGGTGCCAGGTTTTGTTTTCGTTTTTATTTATTTGTTACCACCCTACACTCTCACTTAAGTGGAGAGAACGAGCCTAGAGAGTAATGGGCGCGTAACATTATTAAAAACATTTATGACTGCATTTGATCATATATTTCCTTTCTTAAGGAAGAATTTTCTTTGAACAACAAAGTCAGTGAGAACATGACAGAAATCTGACATTTTAACAAAGTTTGGTTACATCTGATTCAGCTTATCCTCTTTTTTTATGACTTTTTTATAGTAACCACAGAAGGCCCTGCCCTGAACACAAACTGAGCATCACCCACTCAAACACAAAACACCAGAACAATGTCTGTAACCGTCCAGTGAAAAAGAGAGGAAAAATGTAAATATTTCTCAGCAGCTGCTGAGGTAAAAAAACAAAACAAATAAAAAAAAAACATAATGGTAGTTACAAACACAAAGAAGCATCTGAACAGGCCTCATTGCTGTGGCAACTTAATCAGCCACTTCAGGTAAAGATCCTAATCCATAAATCAAAGTGATTTTCAGCTTTTGAGCTCTTCTGCACTCTGCTGCTGCAGCTGCTTCCTGAATGTTCTGTTGAAACTCTAACGAGCAGAACTTCTACTTCTACATACTAAATTCAAATTTTCTTCACCAAGTACACAACAAAATGTGTTTTAATGTCTAAAATAGTGGATTCTGTTTGACATGTCCCATTTAAAATAGACCTATTAGCATGACTAGTTGCTTTTTAATCCTGAATGTCTTTTGTCTCAATAAAAACTAGACTTTTTAAACATCAGGTAAATAAATGTTTACATATTTTGTCTTGTAAAAGTCATCTTAAATAGTGTTTTATTTTATTTTACTTTATTTTATTCTTACTGAAGGCCCTGTCACACTAAAAAACTTATGCCAACTAATGAACATTTTAAAGACATCTACGTTGAAGATGGAATTGAAAAAATCAACAGGAAGCTTCTTATCGGCATGTACATAATGTAATTTGAACAAATTGATCAAATTTATAACTTTTATTAGCAATTTAGACATAAAAATATTTCTTTCAAATAAATTAAAGCATTTATTTGGTAAATTGAGGGGAAGGTTATTGGATTTTAAGTTGATTTATCCAGAGTGCAGAAAATAAATTACAGTGTTTGGTGTTTTGGAGAATGGGTTGCAAACAGTGGTGGGTACAGTTCCACTAATAGCTGAACTAGCTTCTCATTTAGCAGATTAGCTTTTTTGTTTTGTTTTGTTTTTTCTTTTTTCTAACTTTGGAAACCATTAGCGGACTGACTAGCTTCCACTAAATTGGTTTCTACTAATTTCAAGTCCACTAAAATATTGACAAGTGTAAAACTTCCAAACTAAATGACCCCACTCCTGTTTGGTGTGGTGGTGGGGTCCCCCTGACCCCTACCTGATTAAGCGGTGGCTGGAGGGGCAAAGGGGAGTTGGGGTGGGGTCATTAGGTGGTGTTTGTGGGTGGTCTAGCTGGCTCCCCAAGAGGCAGCCATGACCTTTACTTGCTAGCTTTGTTAGCGCGCCGTAAGGACAGTGGGAGGGTTAAGCAGAGCTGGACGTGTCAGGAACTGTGTATAGCATGTAGCATCTTTAGCAGCTAAACCTCAAACTAAATAACAAATACAAAAATTAACTATAAAATATTGTAGAGAAAGTATTTGCTTTTTTTATTTGACTAACTTCAAAAGGTATTTATAAAAATACAAACTCGAGCAAAAGAATGGTTTTATTTTGAAAGGGGTAAACTGGAAGTATCACGTGTAGACAGAGCTRCAACTCTGGTTTGGATTGGCCGATTTACCCCAAAYAATCCCACCCACCTTCAAACTAAACTAATAGGATCAAACCAACAGGTTTGTGTCAGTCCCACCAGTTTTCAGATGGAGGGAGATGAAGACGTGAGCAGTAGGGGTGCAGCGATACAGAAAATTCATGATTCGGTTCAGTTCCATACTTTAGTCTCACAATTCGATATTTTTAATACAAAAAAGAGAAATGTCCACGCCCTTCTTAACTTGTAATTCATTGAAATTAATTATGAACATTTGTTTAACCTCAAAAGTACAGTTTTTAAATTAAATGTTGCTGAAACWGCAAGTWTCTCAGTGGATCTGCGCTCGAAAATGCAGCCTAGGTGGAGTAGTCGAACACAGATCCACTGATCCTTCAACACAGAGCATCTTCAGAAGACAAGTTGATAAAATAAATTAAAAAAAATCTGTATTGTTCCATACATAGTGTGTATTGAACCTAAAGCTCTGTATTGAACGGTTCAATACGGGTACTGTTGCACCCCTAGTGACAGGCTGAGTGACAGTCATCCTAGCGATTAACGCTAGCTTCCTTTTAATTTTGTGTTTAGCAGATTAGCGTTAGCGGTGCTAAGATTATTTTTCTAGCGGACTAGGTGTTAGCTACCCTAACTTACAGCAGTGCCCATCATGGTAACTTCTTTACCCCATTAAAACTCCTCTGATCCACTCTGAACCTCACCTGCCAAAGATGAACATCACGGTCAGAATGGGCACCAGCTTCAGCTGCTCTTCAGGCAGTAAAGTGGCCATAACGACCAGGTTGAGAACGTAGAGGAGTAACTGCTCCAAGGTGGACGTGACGAACAGCCGCTGAGGACTTTGTCTTCTGGGATCAGACTCCTGCAGGTCCAAGGAGCCGGAGCAGAACTGGCAGCCTGCTCCCACCAGCATCGCTGTGAAGAACAGAGCAATAAGTGAGTTAACATCTTGAATCTGGGTCATCTTTTCTGTCCAACTTGTCTGACCTTTTCTGATTTTAGATTTTCCTCATTTGAATACAGAAACTCCCGGCAGACTGACCCACATGCAAATCAGAGCGCAGAGAGTTTGCATGTGTTCTTTTTTTTTTTTCTGGTTTTGGAACGTGAAGAAAACGACCGAGACAATTAGTCCACAGCCTGAGAGACAGAGATGCAGCTGATCTCATTCGGTAGTTTCCATTTAAAACTATGTGAAGGAAATTATGTGTCTCTACAGAGACGTCTGCTGCTCTGAGGTTTGAGGAGCGTGAAATTAAAGAGGACACTGGAACGTTCCGAGACGAGGCAGCCAGACGAACCAGGTCCTCTTTAATCTTTATCATTTATTATCGCCCGCTGCTTTCAGCCATGTCTGTTAGCAAAATGTCTCATAGGAAGCTGCCACAGATAGCTGACCTTGAAAAGCACAAAAATGACTATAACTCAGTTAATTTCACAGATAGGGAGCTAAAATGGTGTTTAATCTGATCCCAAACACAGATTTTGACAGTTTTCACAAGATCTTTGTTGGAAATTGTGTTTGTTAGTAAAATATCTTCGAGGTTGTGCACTGCGTACCGAGCACGACGGGGAGCGCAGCCAAGGAGCAGCAGCAGAAGGTGAAGACGAGGCGGCTGCTCATGTCGGGGCAGTCCGGGGGCCTGATGGGGACGTAGAAGTAGAGCAGGTAGAGGAGGCCGGCTGCGCACAGCAGCGACGCCAGAGCCAAGAGGAGCGCGGGAACTCTGCCGCCCCGACAGCAGCGACTCTGGCAGCAGCGACAGCAGCGGCGACCCCGATCCGAAGCCTCCTCGGCCACTCCGCCTGCCTCTGCCACGCCCTCCGGGGTCCACACAGCCAGCTCCACGCTCTCCCGTGGCGGGCCTATCAGAGGCCGGCCCTCGTCCGCAGCGCTCTCCAGATTGGTGGACTCCGGACTCCATCTCGGCGTGTCTGTGCCGTTGGGAACGTCGCCCTGAGGGGCCGGGGTTGCGGGGGCGATGCAGTTTTCCGTATCGGCGTCCAAACTGTGAGCGGGGATGATCGGGCTGGAAAGAGTCTGATCCGGTTCGCCCTCCTCCGTCTGATCTGCTTCAGGCTGATCTGGGAGGTGAACTCTGGGCTGCTGGTGGCTCGAAGCAAAGCCTGCAGAATCAGAACAGGTTTTATTAAAGAATCATAAAGAAACTGAAAGAAGTCGACCACAGATCTAGTTTACTTCTTTAGATCCAGAGTTCAAAGTGTCAGAAAAAAGTTCTGTCCCACTTTTAAYCAGCAATGATTTGCAAATGATGTTTTTTTATGGGGTGCTAAATTTAAAATAAAATGTTAAGAAATGTCACTAATACATTTTCATTAATTAGCTCATTTTCTCAGAGTAAAATCCTAGTTTAACAATTTCTACTAACATTTTCCTGTTATTTAACTCACTGTTTAAATGTTACATGTATTATTTGAAATTTATATAAACATTAAATTACTAAATCTAAAAATGTGTCAAGCTCAGTGGTGGGCACAGTTCCCCTAAAGCAGAGGTTCTCAAACTGGGGTCCCAGGACCCCCAGGGGTCCACGAGCCGTATCGTGGGGGTCCTCAAAAATTTTCAATAAATTAATTTGATTTTTATTTTTTTTAAATGCATATGGGGAACAACGCACTAGCAAAACAAACATACTAAACCAATTTAAATATTCCCATAGCATTTAGGAGTATTTTTAAAACAGCATGGGCATTTCTAAGGGGGTCCCCAGACCCAAAACGTTTGAGAACCCCTGCCCTAAAACACTAAAGCACTAATAGGGGAACTAATTTCCTGATTAGTGCTTTAGGGCTTTTGCTAATTTTAAAATTTATTAGTGGATTAGCACTTGTTAATTTTATAGGCTAAATTTAGAAACACTAACTGAGGTCTATAAATGTTATTGATCAACGTTAATGTTAACAGCTGACAGTGAAAATTTTGTTCATATGTGTGTCACTTCTCCACCAGGTGACAATATATTAACACAAATCCAGCTGTGGAATGTTAATGATAAGTCTTAAGAGAGCAACATGACGATATGTGACTCATGTTGTCTGTTGAAGAATGTTCATGGGTTGACTGGGTTCTTTTAGTGCTTTAGAATTAGCTTTTGCTAAACTTTTCAGTGCRTTAGTGCTTTAGAATTAGGGGACCTAAATATTTGAGTTGGTGGAAYTAATTTTTTGAWTAGTGCTGCCCACCACTGGTAAAGCTTAATATAAAAGGTAAAAACTTAAATGTTGTGATTAAATGCTGAAGTTTACAAGTATTTCAGGATGGAAAGCAGGCTTTGCTGTTGGTGCTCGGTTTTTGTTGTTGCGTCATCATCCTGAGACCAAAACAGCTGCTAACGCTCTTAATGCTTCCCTACAGGACCGCAGACTTGCAATTGTGAACAGTGTTAGCTATTGTTTTGTTGCAAGATAATGACATCTCACGCTGAAGTTTGACGTAGGGAAGTGTTAGCAGCGTTAACGATGTTATCGATATTAGCGGTTGCTTTTGTCACAGGACGATGCAGCTAGCTGCTGATAGTTTTGCTAATGCCGCTAACACTGCTGAGGATAGTATTTAAAATCTAAATTCAAAATGCGTTCATTGAAAACGWTATGGATGGTACCTGTGGTCCGGCAGTTTGAAGTGCAGCTCAGACACCGGCTGCACCTGCAAGTTTGATGTCTTGTAGGTAGTGTTGTAGTCAAGAACACCTAATTTGAGACCAAGTCAAGACCAAGAATTTCACAGCCTGGACCATGACCAAGGGAGGGCGAGACCGAGTCAAGACCATGACCAGRAAAAAAAAAAAMCTAGTGCCCTAAAAGGTACAGTATGCTGTATACAAGTAGCTAACTTAATATATAGAGCTAATATTAACACAACCTTTGTGTGAAGGCAGMGGAAAGACTTCTGCTKCAGAGGCAGATTGTTAACGTTAGYGAAGATAAAAGTTTAACGTTGTTCCATCGTYTCAGAAAGTGAAGCACTGCAGAATTTACAAGTTGTTGTATGCTTTCTCCTGGATGTTGATTTACAACTATATTCTTTATGATTTATGTAGCCAAACTGTTGGACTGAAAATTTTCAAGACATCTTGTCCTGTTCCGAGAGAAGCACTGTTCACTTTCCTGGAGTGCCACATGCAAGTGAAGGGTGGGTGGGGATGGGTGACAGCTGATAACTAAAATACATAAATAGCAATAAGTCAGGTTTAGATTTGAATCAGTATGTTTTAAATCCAATGAAAGCAACGATGTTAACAAATAAATTGGACAATAATCTGGCTATTTAGTGAYATTTCCACAGTTGTGGTCTCAAAATAAAATTCTGAGTACTCAATTTCCGAGACCGAGACAAGACCGAGTACAAATGCTGTCGAGTCCGAGACAAGACCAAGACCATCAAAATGTGGTCTTAAGACTGGTCTCATTTGCTACAACACTACTTGTAGGGAAGCGTTAGCATTGTTAACAGTGTTAGCAGCGTTAGCGTTTGTCTCAGGATGATGATGTCATAACAAGAGCCGATCACCAACAGCAAAGGCTGTGTTCCATTCTGAAATACTAAAATGTAAACKTCAACATTTACATTTACACATTTAGATTTAATATTTAGATATATAATTTAACATTTTTTATTTAAACATTTATACAGTGAGCTAAATAACAGTAAAATGTTATGGTGGACATTTTTTTTACTAGATTTTTACACTCAAACTGAGCTAAGTAATGAAAATGTTAGGGACGCTTCTTTAATTTACACTTGGCGCCCCATAGTTTATCACAAAATGTAAGTAAATAAGACTCTGAACGACCTAAAGTTTTATCTGGTGACAGACAGCAGGAACAACTCACTCATCGGCTGCTCTGGTGCCGGCTCCAGGGAGCGCTGGGAGCCCGAGACAGAATGGGAGGACGAGTGCAGCTCCTCCACCGAAGACTCGGGGCTGTCTGACACCGGCGCCAAGGAGATCTGCGTGTCCAGGTCCAGGAAGGGGGAGAAGGACAGCCTGGCTGGRTCGATGTCCTGGAGCTGGTTGATGATGTCGCTGATGGACTCCTTCATGCTGTCGAGCTCCTTCGCGTTCTGCCGGTTTGTGGCCTGAAGCCCCGAGGAGCTCATGGTCACACAGCCTGAGGGACCAACACACAGAAGAGTTCAAACGTTTCAGGTCTGGAAACTTTTTTTTTCCTTCAGTCGTAAAACTTTCTACTCAGAATGTGGAAAAATTTCACCACAAAATCCTGATTTAACTTCATTAGACTGGTGATTAAATGATGCAGGACAGATAAGATGTCAACTTTTGTCTTCTCTGTTTTAGCATTTTTTTTGGCACAAATCTAGTTTGATAAATGATGACATGAATCTAAAAAAAACATCTTATTTTGCTTTCCAAAGTCTGGCTGGAGATTATATTCTACGATTATTGGAATTTGGCATAAATTTTAGGCCTATAATTCAGTCAGTTTTAAAGAGATTAACCTAAAACCTGGCGTGGTAGTAGCTGAGACTGATCCACAACTCCTATTCTGAGCACTAACAGGTCAGGAAAGAGCTTTTGCCATTAACTGTTTGGAGTCAACTCGGTCTGTTAGCAAAATTTCTCGTGAACCACACCACCGATTTGAATGAAACTTTCAAGAACTAGTCGTTGGGTTTATGTCTAAAACTCATTAAATTTGGAAGTTAATCCAATTCTAATTTGGCTGCTGTTAGCAAAATATTTATAATCTGCTGATGGGTCAGAACAAAGACACAGAACAGCATTCTAAAAAAAGAAGAAAAAAGTTACCTCCAACTAAATTCCTGCATGTTATTAAGAATTAAAGACACTTTTTTAAACCCAAAAAGCTTGATGAGAAAAGTGTTTATCTTTTGACCCAAACAGCTGCTTCATCGAATAAACAGCTGCTGCTAAACAAGAACAGAAAGAGACGAAAACAGAAGAGAAAAAAAAAGTTACCTCCAAGCTGTTTTTCTACAAGTRAAGGAAAATATTTCTAGTAGTTCGGGTAAAATCATTCAGATTACCTCAAATAATTGCAAACAGGTGTGTAAAACTGCGACCGCAGCTTCCGGTAACTGACTTTATATGAGCATTTATGGGTAGAAAGGTTTTTTTGGAAGTTTTTTTTTGTGGAAGATTTTGAAAGAAAATAAAATATTTTAGTTTTGTTTGCTCTGACAAGAAACAGATCCAAAAGTGGTTGATGTGTTGCAAAATGAATGAAACATTAAGATGAAAAACATCATCAGGATTCGAATTTGATTTATTCAGAACAAAGAAATAAAATAAAAATTACAAAAAGTTACTTGTTAAAAATAGTTTAAAATTCTGGCTGTTTATTCTTTAAAATTCCACAACTTTTCATTAGTGTACCTTTTTTTTTATTGTGTTAAAGTCACAGTTATCACTGTTAGCAAAATATCTGATAAACCACTGGAAGAATTTTAATCAAACTGGAACAAACATGGCTGCCACAGCAAACTGACCTACAACTCAATTTAACAGATACTGAGGTAAAATGTGGTGCAGGTAGTAGCTGAGAATCATCCACAACACACATAGACTCAACTCTCTGTTAGCAAAATATCTAATGAACCAGAAGACGGATTTTAATGAAACTTTCAGACAGTAATCTCTGGATGAGCAGCTTCAACTGATTAMCTTTTGGCGTTAATCCAACTAAAGATGGACGCCTCACAGTAGCCAACACAACAGATATTGAGCTTAAACTTGGTGTAATAGTAGCTGAGTCATCCACAGCACACACTATGAGCGTGAAGTCTCACCATTTTATGAGTTCTTTTAATCAGAATCAGTTTTATTGTCAATTAACAGGATTTGCTTTGGTGTAAAGGTGCAATAGGTATAAAATAACAAAGAAAATACAAAGGATAAAGGAAAAATACAATCAAATATATAAAACATATGTACACCAGTTCAATGGAGTAATCAGAGCAGACATGGTTTGACAAAAGCAGCTAAAAGTGTCATTTATATTTAATGTATTATTTAAAATAAGGGAAAAAACCGTTGTTTTGGTTTGAAGTTGCAATGACGGGGTCTGCTTTTATATTTTCTTAAATTTGAAATCATTACATAAAGTCCAAATCTGACTTTTCTCTGAGTTTTATCATTAAAGCCAATAAAAGACATTTACTTTGTATTAAAGCTTCTCTCTGGGTTTATGGAACATCTGCAGATAAAATTTGGAGCCACTTTCTCCTGGACCCTTTTTTTTTTTTGGCGCACATCCAAAATGTGGCGCAGAGCCTTTCAGGACTCGGTCTTTCTGCAAACAACTGCGGGWCTTTACCATAACGAGCAGCAATCAGCCGTCGGGGAGAAATCGCGGTGGTTCCAGGCGCGGAAAGCTCCAAAATGCGCTTTGAGAGATCTCTCAAGTAAAAACATTTTTCTCTTTTTCTTTCTTTTTTTTTTAAACAAGCAAATTACCTCTTGTTTGGTGTTTGGAGCTGCAGAAAATAGCAGATTTGTTGGTAAATAAATAAAACAAAAGCGCATGAAGCCGTGCGTAAAGTCACGGCGCTCATTCAAGCGGCTCGCAGGTCAAAGCCAACAGTTTCTGGTTGAATTGGACTTACTTTAGTCGGAGCTTGCGGGGCTTTTTTTTTTTTTAAGAAGAAAGGGTCCCTCCGTCCTTCCCTCCCCCTCGGCTTCTGCTTTTTGTCTTCCAGGATCCTGAACTTCTGAATCAGATTTCAGGACGGACAGAATACGAGCCTGTTCCTCC